AAATCTTCTGCACTTAACATAAGGAACAAGATTCGCATTTTCAACACCAATGTGAAGTCACTCACTTCTTCTATACGAGTGAGAAACTTGCACCGCGTGTCACGAAAAGGATTTCCAACAGGTCTCAGAATTTCATCAACAGCTGCCTTCGCTGGCTGCATACTGAAGATAAAAAGGGTGGTCAGAAAGAATAAGCAACAAGAAACTACGGGAACAAACCAATCGAAAACTGACCGATCAAGAAATATTTAGGAGGAAGTGGGGAGATGGATCGGGGATACATTGAGGAGGCCGTCGAATGACATCGCACGCTAGGCTATAGCTCGAGTGGAATCCAAATGGGAAGTGAAGAGTGGGTCACCAGTGTGAGAGTGACATCGAAGAGATCATGTATCGGGGTGGAAGAGATGAGAGAGTTTGGTCAAAAGTGGACCCAGTGAAGAGGATGGCAGAAAACAGAACAAAGTGGAGATGTGTCCCGGTTAAAGCCCTATGTTCCACTCGGAACGCAAAGGAATAATAATAATTTGAGCTAGGATTGAAACACAACTTAAGGAAGAGAGAGAGCTTTTGTGTAAGATAGTAACTCATAGCTTAAGAAATATCCCAAAATAAACAACGATATAAAACTTATGGGGGGGAGGGGAAAGGAAACAAGAATAACTCATCAGTGTGTCAAGAACTTTGATAACACAGAATTCGACGTTGTAAAAGAGAATTAATTTAAAATGACAAGTGGAACAATTGAAATAATGTCGGGGACAGTTCAAAATGAGAATAATAACAGTAACAATTGACGTAATAAAGGAAGAGTATACAAATGGAAAAGAAATTGGTAGAGCCAAAAAATGATTAGGGATTACCCATGCTTTAGCATAGAAGGATTAAGACCTTGACAATCGGAGGAATTGAACGAACTTTTTCTGTACACAGAGATCTGGCTTTTCTGTTTCGATAGCCAAAGATGATTTCAGCAATACAGATGAGTTGGGTACGTAGGGATTTAGGTAAATTACTTTTTGCCTCGTAGATGACTTTAAAGGCGGAAGCTATAGAGATAGAGTGATCTTTGTCGACCAGATATTCAATGATCATGCTTCTCATTGTTCCACTTCCACCTCTTCGTAACCATGCAGGATGGTGTTCTTGCACCTTCTTGGACAAAACTCGAGTCGAACGACCGATATACCTAGTTCCACACGAGCAGATGAATTGATAAGCACACATAGAGTTGGTCAGCAGCGGTATCTATTCCTTCAGGTTATTGAACAGTAATGGTCGACTGGTAAAGGCTACTCTCAAAGATGTAGCAGGGAATGTTCTTTCAGGGACTGTGATATCCTTCGTTACATGATACTGGAAGCTAAGTCACCTTCGAATTCCAAGCTCATGTACAGTATTTTCTTGGGTGAGGATGATAAGTCACGTTTCATAGGATTTGAATGGATATTCTTATCTATAAAACCTGGTGGAAATCCATTTTCTACCAGGATTCTCCTCAAAAGATTTAACTTTCCCTCCACGGTATCAGGGCTATATATTCGCCGAATGCGAGGGGCAAGCGACCGGACCAGGTATCGTTTTCGATCAATGGGTATCCAGCTTTAGAAATTTGACCATTCCATTACAGCTTACGATAAATCGATCTCTTCAGAGTTCTATCGGTCCTCCTTGATAAGTTCGCATCGAGGAAATGCATAATAGACTCGTTCTCCATTTCGAGTGTGAATTTTATCGCAACCATCAAATATATTTAATATATTATTCAAATTACAATAACTATTACAAATAACAAAGGTGTCATCTACATTGTTGGTATTAGATGGTTGGAGGCAATCGGAAACAGGAAGCCTTGGACCTAGGTTTCGTGCTAGTTGGCACTCATCAGCAAGGCGTATCTGCAACCTTGAAGGAACTGATGTCCCTTCTGAGATTCGAACCCGCGTCACCCAGTGCCGTCTGCAGTCAGAGACGTTACCACTGAGCTATTCAGGCTCGCGACTGACCTCCTGTAGGACTGTAATGGATATTTTTGATTGAACACTAGTGAGTAACTAGTGTAATGTGTCTAGTCCTATCTTCGGTCAGTCTTACAGGAGGCCAGTCGCCAGCCTGAATAGCTCAGTGGTAACGTCTCTGACTGCAGACGGCACTGGGTGACGCGGGTTCGAATCTCAGAAGGGACATGAGTTCCTTCAAGGTGATTGCAGATACGCCTTGCTGATGAGTTCCAGCTAGCACGAAACCTAGGTCCAAGGCTTCCTGTTTCCGATTGCCTCCAACCATCTAATACCAACAATTCACAGTGCACCGTAATGGCGAGCCACCTAGCATGGTGGCCACATTGCAAACATGACTGATAGAATTCAGTCTGCACCGAAGATAGGACTAGACACATTACACTAGTTACTCACTAGTGTTCACTCAAAAAGCGTCATCTACATACCTTTTATACATTTGAAAGCTTTAGATTGTTGAATTCAACTGACCATTTTCTAGACTGGCCATGATACAATCTGCAAGAAGAGGATACAAGGAAGAACCCATTGCAATACCATCCTTCTGTCTGTAGATTGTTTTATTGAAAGCAAACTGTACATTCAATGTACATCTCAAAAGTAGTTGTTTCAAGTTTGTTGTTGTTTATCCCTATATTCAACTTGTTGTCTTTAATATATTTGCATATATACAATAATGAAATTACTTGTAAGAAAGCATAATTTTATATTAGATAGTCAGATTCTACAGCCAGGTAGTTGCGAATGTAGGTTCCCCGTTTATTCGTCTTCGACGAGACATATACACAATCTTCAAGTATTGGTTTTGTAGGGATTTTGTTTGATTGCATGGAAGATTTCATCATGAGCTGACATCAGTTAGAGAACCATTGGAAAACCTGCAAGGTGTACTGGACAGTTGCTTCGTCAGCCTAGTTCGGAACTCTTCAGCACCCACCGGGATTCGAACCCAGGACCTCCTGGTTACAAGGCGAGCTCGTAGACCATTGGGCCACTGGGACCCGATCCAATGGTCCTTGAATTCTAACTTCTGCCAATTCACGACATAGCGCGACCACAATCCTCGAATAAAAATATCCTCCCACATAAGGATGTGAAAGATATTCAACTACCAAACTATTCGGGTACTGATCCAAATATCAATAGAAAATTTAAAAAAGTACGCTTCAATGAACAATACGGTTACCGGTCTAGTACATCGCCCACGTGATCGATAGATTATTTGCGTCGGTGGCACAGTGGTAGAGTGCTCGCCGACCGTGCATGTGGTCCGGGGTTCGATCCCCGATCAACGCACTCCTTTACCTCACCAAGCCAGTAATATGACTGGTAAAGAGGGAAGGCTGGACATGAGCCTAGCAACCCCATGATGTAAAAATAAACACCACTGCTATCGAAACTTCAAGCCTCTAGCTTGAAGCCCTATGTTCCACTGGGAACGTAAAGGAATAATAATGATAATAATAATAACATGGTTATCAATTCGGATAATAACTATCTACCTTGAATTAGTTTCACGAATTTTCCCTTCTTCCAAACGATATTACATTATCGATAATATCCTATTGTAGTAAAATAAAGGGATTACACGGATTAACCCACATTCCCACCGCCCATCAATAACTCTATAAGGTGAATGCATGCAAACACAAGTATTCTCTGAAATTGATTTTCAGAAGAATAAATACTTATTCTCCTGTATTCTCTAAGACACACAGTATTACAGTGTTGAACACCACCCATCAAATATGCACGTATACAACATTGTGCTTTACGTGTCAAATTCTCAATCTGGGCGTTGCCTATTTTTATTATTATTATTATTTCTTTTTTCTAATCACAACTGTGCACTTGACTTCAATAAGAGCACTGGTATGTGTATGTGAATTATTAATTGAAAAGTTATAAGGATCTTTTCATTGTAGGCAGGAGAGATAGACAGATATATGCATATATATCTATCTATGTTAAGCCTTAAAAAATGTGATAAATAATTACAATCGTCTACAGGTGATCTACTCAATGCTCAAGAGAGAGAGAAAAAGAAGACAAGCAAGCAATACCACCATAGACACACTTGCACATACACATATATACTCTTGTGTGCTCATCACAATTCACCTATTTTTCAAATGTAACAAAACGTGATCCCATCTACTTCTACCAATCCGAAAAGAAGGGGAAATTTAAAAAAATGACCAGTTATATTCTCTTCACTTTTTTTTCTTCTTCGGATATTATCGATTGGTTAACATGGGAATACACATTAGAATACACATGATTGAATATATAATACCGATTATGGTAAATGGATGTAATTTTAATGTTTATATATATATATATATATATCACATTGAACTTGTACGTGGACACACATAAAATGTCTTTGTGCACAGGGTTATACGCTATCTACACACACCCACACGCACACTCACATACACACGCATACATAGAGCACATATGGAATAACTCTGAGTATGTGTATATGTAGGGCAGTGAGAATTTGCTAACCCTTCTCAAAATGTCCCAAAATGCTAATCTGTGCTGTCCACCATGCAACAACACCAAAAAAATAAAAATAATCATTAGGAGTTTTGTATGTATATCTAAGATAATTAAAAAATAAAAACAACATAAGTAGATAGAGTAACGTTGAATCTTTTAATAAACACATTGATCGTTAATATTATTGACTTTGCACCAGTTATTTAGCTACACATGCTTAGAGTCACATTGATTATGTGTTTCTGCACAGAGTTATTCTTCATAGCCTATAATATTTACCCACCTTCCTACCTGCCTGCAAACCTATCTACCTACCTATCGATCGACCGACCCACCCACCAACCTACAAACATGCACATATACACGTATGCACAAACACATGGCATACGTGATTAGAATATCTGTTTTCATCTCCCTATCATAAGTGAGAAGATTTGTAAAGGATAGGGCAATCAAGAGAATGGGCAGGAGGAGAAGGAGGAGGAGTAGGACAAAAGACACAAATCAGAAGAGTAATATTCAATAATTATTCCCATTTTACATACCTTCTAAGCTGATTTATTTTATTTCATTTTATTCCCGCATATCTACCTATCTATCTATCTATCATACCTTTCACAATAATATTTATTCCTCTGGGATAAATTCAAATTGTGAAAAATCTTCATTTAATTCGGTGGTTAAATCTTTGCAAACTGTTAACTGTTTACAATTACAATGACTTCACGTCGTAAGCAAACACGTCCAACAAAAAGTAAGTTGTGAGTAAAACTATTCGACTGTTGTCGTTGTTTTTTTTATTGTTAACAAGGAATTACATAATTGTTGTCATTAATGTATAGTAACATGTATAGTAATTAATTTTATTCATACTATTTGGGGGGATCTGCTTCATATACAAGAGATTTTTAAATGCACATATACAGAGAGGAATCAGATTTATACTAAACTCATTTTGGTTGGTAATAACCACGCGCATTTCGTCCTATTTGGGACTCGTCAACTGGATTTACCTGATGATGTTCCTACTGAGGCTGGAACCCAGTGCCCATAGTTTCAAACGCCAAAGCATTATCCACTATACCCCTTAGGACGAAATGCGCGTTATCCTGGATTCCATTGCTAGTCACCATCCATCAATTGAATTCTAATTACATACCTAGACATCGTCGAAGCATCTGCACAAGAAGCTGACATGTCAACCTGAGACCGAGCACTTCGGTCCAATCAATCGACGAGAAAATCTAAAATTCAATTAGATCTCCCCATCGATTTCAGATTAATGAAGGCCCGTTTAACTTTCTCCGTTTACGCTTTTGTCATTCCTGGTATGCTTCAAGCTCTGATATTTCATAGCAAAATACTTCGTTATCAAAATAAGTGATTTCATAAAACTCCTGTAACAGGAATCTTCATGTCAACAGACGTTAACTATTTCGGTTCAATAAGTCGAAATTGTGCCCATTGAAAAAAAGGGGAAGCTCTAGTGGCCCAGGTGGTCTAGTGGACAAAGCTTCGGAGTTTGAAACAATCGGTACAGGGTTTCAGTCTCTCTGGCGACACCATCATTCAATGGAAATACAGATGACATCTAGAGGACGGGTCTCAAAAAGGACCAAAACTGCGAGTATCCTAGAATTTCACTGCTAGCCACCATTTGTCAGTATTACTTCAAGTTACCAACTTCAGTGTAAGATTTAAAAGTGCTATTGGATTCTTCAAATATACTGAAAAGTTCAAACGAAGCCATATGTTACTGATATATGCACAAATTTATTATTACTTGCCTAGTACGAATATGTCAATGTCAAAGCCTGCGGAGGAAGCTGTCAAAAAGAATTTCCTTTTTGTTCAATGATTAATAGAGGAATCTTTAAGTGAAAGCCATATTTATTTGCCTGATTATGTCTATCAGTAGAAACCAAGATGTATATTTGGTCATATTTGACACTCTGGATATACATGCACTACCTCGAGTATACGATGTTATTTCACCTTTTTAGCAACCAAATGAATCAAACATTATCGAAGTGTCCGTACAAAGAGCTAAGATATTTAACAGAGACTAAGCATTTCCGTCTAATTAAAATCAGTCGACGGGAAATACAAAATAAGTGAACACTGGCGACTGGCCCTATTCAGGTAGGTAGTTACCTGGGGTTCCAGTGGGAAGTCGTGACCAGTAGGGTGGAGCAGGTCGGGTGTGAGGACAAACACTCGCCGAAGACATTGGCTAGCGATTGCGCTGACACTGCTCTGAATTCAGGTCATCGGTCTAGTGGGACCCGAATGAAGAACGACGAGTTGGGCGTGCACCCAAGGTTGACATGGAGGAGATTGTGTGGCCCGCTAAAAAGTATCTCAGAGAATAAGACAACAGTGGAGAGCTACTGTTGAAGCCCTATGTTCCACTCAGAACCTAAAACAAGTTTAAGAATTTAATTCATGGTATCAATTTTAAGTAAAAGAAGTAACACGACACAAATCAGTGCACTTGATGAATGATACATAGAAAAAAGAAGATATAAATTAAAACACACTTAGCTGTGCACTTTACTTAAGTACATGACATGCACTCTGACTAACTGACTGACTGACTGATACATTTCGAAGCTGTAAAGCACAAGAGTATAAAACCCAACTGTTCAAATTTTTTAAAAAGAGTGAGTTGATTTTGTTCGTGGACAGAAGTGGAGTTTGATTTTATGTCTATTAAAAAGATGTATGAACAGACATATATATATATATATATATATATATACATGACCACTATCTTTATTCATGAAGTAAATAACAGAAAGACTTGCACTTTACAAATATGATACTATTTTCTCCCTAGTTTGAAGAATACTTATTCTATTCTGACTAACTTTGTTTAATGATAATCTGAAGTGAGCAAAGCAAACTGGTTATTGATCTACTTAATATATATAGTGTCTAATATTAAGCACTCACTGAACTCTGTCAGTTAAGTTTACATAAAGATAACAATGAAGTTCAAATCAGCTATCATATGCTTGGTCTAAGCTCTACAAACTGAATATGAGACTTAGGTGATATTTTAAGGCAAAAACTGACTAAGTTTCATTGGTTGGAGGATTTCATCATGAGCTGACATCAGGTAAAGAACCACTGGAAAACCCACTGGTTGGTGGAGGCGTACCGTTGAAGAGTCCAAAACTAGGCTGACGAAACAGCTGTCCAGTACCCCCTGGTGGTTTCCAATGGTTCTCGAACTGATGTCAGTTCATGATGAAATCCTCCAACAAATAATCAAACAAAGTCCCTACAAAACCAATATCAATGAAATGCTCAATAGCAACTGGCCCTACTCAGGTAGGTAGAGTTACCTAGGGTTCTAGTGTTAATTCTTAACCAGTAGGGGACATTAGGCTGAAGGTGCGGAAAGTTACTCATATTAGAAGACATTGCAAACTGGTCGCACTATGTCGTGAATTGGCAGAAGTTAGAATTCATCATCTACTAACTCGCCTTGTAAATAGGAGGTCCTAGGTTAGAACCCTGGTGGTGAGTGTGTACTGCTGAAAAGTTCCAAACTAGGCTGATGAAACAGCTGCCCAGTACAACTGTCCAAGTTTTCCAATGGTTCTCTAATCGATGTCAGTTCAAATGATCAAACAAAATCCTTACAAAACCAATACTTGAATAAGTTTCAACAGAGAACTTTGTACAGAAGTGAAGCACTTCAAAACGACATTATCCCATATACCACACAAAGATAAACAAAAGAGATTTAAAAGAAGAAGAATATAATAAGCAGAAATGTGCAGAAGAAAGCATTAATTACATGGAAAAATATAAGAGTTTAATAGATATGAGAGATTATAAAGAATGAATAGAGAATAGCTTTGATATAAGTATAAAACTTGGGCACTGTGGCAGAGTATAACTCCATTATGGATAAGATTTTATTTTGATAAATCATATCAACTTGATATGATTATGAGTGGCAATAGTTTGTGCTCGAAACGTGGTCATCAGTTAACATTACTGTATAACACAGTGTGATTTATCAAAATAAAATCTTATCCATAATAGAATAATAGCTTTGAGTCATATCACCAATAGTCTCTAGTTATTAGTTCTTAGCATCCTGAAGACCGCGACTTGGCAGTCTGCACCTTCTTATGTGGCTGGTTCAAACCGACAGTCAGAGATGAAATTTACAATTTGTAAGTTAGCTCTCAATTTTCACAGCTCGAGGTGATTATTTCAGATCACATAATTGTGATCTGCTTGTTGCCATAAATGGTAATCAAGGAAGCAAGCACTCAATATATTACTCATCTTAATCAGTCAGTAGTGTATCACAACAATCAGAGACTTTATGAACTGATTCTAGATTTCGGTTTGACCATCCCTGACCTTTTCCCAACTTAATCCAACTTATCAGCTAACAGTGCTGGTTGAGGAAGGTGAAAAAAGTTATGTATCATTTTGCTAACATGGAAGTTGACCATTATCTGAGATAATTACAGTCAACTGATGACGTGGTTATTTGTTGGTCCTCATCCTAGAGTGGTATTCAGGAGATTTTTAGTGCTAACTCTGCCGTTGCTATCCATATTTTCATTTTGACTTGAATAATGTCCCACTACACCAGGTGAAGTTTGATAATCCTCATCTATCCTGAGATAGTCTCATTTTCGACTAGGATGGATTGTTAAAGAAAATAAAATAGCTGAGTCCTCTCAATCTGATAATTGATGATTTTAAGAGAATCAAAATGGGATGGAATGATTATGCTCGAGTAATATTAATGCATACCCCGAAAATACACTAGCTTTAATCAACGTCACTAGGATACTAGTAAAAACGAAGTTCAAGTATTGATTTGTAGGGATTTGATTAATTGGTTACAGGATTTCATCATGAGCTGACATTGTCCTGGGTCCTGGGTTCAAACCTCGGCGGTGGGTGCGTACTGTTGAAGAGTTCCAAACTAGGGCAAAACAGCTGTCCAGTACTCCCAGTTGGTTTTCCAGTGGTTCTCCAACCAATGTCGGCTCATGATGAAATCCGATGACCTAAAAACGAAGTTTTTTTTATGCAATAGGCCACAGATGAGACCAAGAAGATGCAGTTTTATACGCTTAACTCTTTTATTTTGTTTAATGGTTGACTGTGAAGCCTGCGTGACTATCACACAGCATTTATTACCACAAACTAGGATGACTTGTTTTTAAGGGTATGCGGTAACATCACTCTATATTGATATGTCGGCTCCGATTACGGGTATTGTATGAATCTTAGCACATCAATGGAGCAAGAGGTATGAATATAGGATTATAAATCTGAATAAATCAAGAACAGTAGTGTGTGCAGAATAAGATGGTACCATCACTGATTTAGCTGGTATCTCATCAACTGAGTGCAGCCTAAATAAATTATTAAGTTTATGTACAGAAATTATTTCCAAATGTTTGCAAATGTTACATAATGTCTCTTGACAGGAGTCTCCGGAAAGTCTCTAAACAGTGCTCAGTAAATTACACTTATCTGGTTTATACCCAGAGAATTAATGGTTGAAATAAAAATAAATGTTTGCATACAGTGGTAAAGGAGTTGCGAAATAAAGACAGGTGGCGAGTAAGATGCTGAGTGACTTGGACTGTTTGTATAAAAACTATATATAAGTGTAATATTCTGAGCACTATTTATTAAGTTGGAAGCCATTATGTAACATTTACAAGCGTGTTGAAATTGTTTTGCACATAAACTTAATAATTTCTT